TGCAGGAATGGGATGAGCTATTAGGGGAGGGGTTGCCAAGTCAGCACATGATAGGGATTAGCCTTCTTTGCTGTGAGTTCATTGGACTGTTACCTTGTTAGGTTTTACCATGGAGGCAGCTGAAATTACTTTATCTCTTACACATGATTCTTATTTTGGAAAAGTTTGTGAGGATCAGAAGAAAATATCTCATCCTTGTCTTGTTTGTCCCCACCTGGGAAATGCATAGATATATTAATGGAAGGGACCTATGGGGTCATCTAGTCCAAGCATTTCATTTTGGAGGTGGGGAAACTGAGGCTCAGAGGGTAAAAGGCCAAGATTTGAACGAGGCCCTCCAGCTCCAAATCCATCCCTTTCTGCGTTGCACCATACTGAAGCTGGAACATTTTATTTAGTTCTGAGTACCACATTCTAAGAAGGGCCTGGACAAACTAGAGTATATTGAGAGGAAGGCCATCAGGAAGGGTCTAGGAACCACATCACTTGAGGAATGGTTGGGGAAACTGCCAAAAATGGGCTAACACTCTCATTTACTCTTACATGCCTGTACAGCCTTTTGAACTGTGCTACAGTTCTGTGAAATAGTCAGGGCAGGTGTTATCTTCATTTTACAGGTTTATTTTACATTAAGACTCAGGTCATACATCTAGTAAATAACAGAACCAGGAGTAAAATAATGGAATAACTCTCATCAAAGTTGGAGCACCAGTCTCAGTTAAGGTGTACCTTAACAGGAATACCTTCCACAACCTCCCCAGTGAGTGGCCACGTAGCCTCTACTTGAACCTTTCCAGTATTGGGGAATGTACTACCTCTCAGTGTCTATCCACTTTAAGAAAGGTCTCATTTTAAAGAAGTTCTTTGGGGGCAGCTAGGTGGCACAGTGAATAGATCACTGGCCCTGAAGTCAGGAGGACCTGAGTTCAAATCCGGCCTCAGACCAAACACTTGACACTAGCTGTGTGACCCTGGGCAAGTCACTTAACCCCAATTGCCTTAATATTGAGCCAATATGTGCTGTTCTATCATTTTGCTCCTAAGTCAGCCATCTGGGACAAAAGAGAATCAGTGCATTTCTCTTCCTTATGATAGTTCCTTTGTAGTGGAGATGACCAGGGCAAGCATCCTACTGCAATTTAAATACCTAGATTATTTTAGGCAAGCCAATTGTCTTCTATAAACATCTGTGAATTAAGCATCTGTGAAATGGGCAGATTGGTCTAGATGATCTCTGTGGTCCCTTCCAGCTCTAATATGACCCTATGTTATTTCCTTTGTCTTCTGTGGTCTAGGCTGAATAGTTAAAAATGGAGGCAGGGTTACATGTTGATTAAAGATCTAAGCTCAAAGCCAGGACAAGCTGGGTTCAAATTCTAACTCTGGTCCATACTGGTTGTGTGACTCTGGACAAGTCACTTTACTTCTCAAAAATCTGGGAATTCTCTTTTTTTCTCTTTTCTTTAAAATTTTTTTTTAATTACTGAAACTTACACAATAAGAAAAGAAAAAGAAACGTATTATGAACTTAAATATTGAAATAGATACAAAATGAGAAAAAAACATGTCATGTGCACAACAGAACATAAAAGAGGATTCAAAATATATAGTAATAAATGTCTATTCAAGAAAGCCTATATAATAAATACTTCATGTTGTGGTGAGAGCCATCCATCTTTGCTTTCTTGTTAGTTTCCCTTTGTTCTCTGCTGTGCACTTTTTTACTTTGTTCTTTTTTTCCCCTTCCTCTCCACCACGGCCAACTCTTAAAGACTAGAATTTGCTGAATAGATGCTGACCTACATTAATAGGGGTATTTTCATCTCTTGGGAGTTCCCTATCCCAATGAAATCACAGATCCCATCCTGATCCTCTCTAGGATGGACATCCCCTGTTCTTCAACTAATTTTTCTCTCACTTCAAACCTCCCTACTGTAATCATCATCCTCATCTAGATATACTCCAACTTGTCAATGTCCTAAAATGTGAGCCACAGAGCTGGACACAAGATGTAGTTTACCTTGGGGAGTATACAATGGAACTAATCACCTCCCCAAGTAGCTCAGCGAATAGAGTACTGGGCCTGGAATCAGAAAGACCTGAGTTCAAAATAGACCTGACATTTACCAGCTGTGTGACCCTGGGCAAGTCACTTAACCTCTATTTGCCTTAATCCACTGGAGAAGGAAATAGCAAACCACTCCAGTTATCTTTTCCAAGAAAATCTCATGGACAATATTGGAGTATTATGGTTTATGGGGTCTTGAAGTGTCAGATGAGACTGAATGATTGGACAATAACAAATCTCCACACCACCACCCCTCCTCCTGAATATTATGCTTCTGTTAATATGGCTGAGGATTAGCTACTATCTCACATTGTTTACTCATCTTCACTTGTAGTCTCCCTAGAACCCAGGTCTTCTGACTCCTGGTCCAATTCTCCTTCCACAAATATCTCAAGGCTTTCTTCTGAATGAGAGGGAAGACATTCTTTGTAGATTCACAAGGCAGAATTAGAATGAATGGCAGGGGTAAGAGTGGGAGAAGCTATAGGAAGGCATAGTTCAACCTAACACAGGGAAGAAATTCCTAACAGTGAGAATAGGCAGTCCAACAATAGAATGGGGCTGCCTCAAGAGATAATGAAGTATTCTAGTCTTAGCCATTAACCATCTGCCTGAGGCATTGTAGAAGCGGTTCAAAGATCAGACCATAAACCTTGATCTGGATGGGCACTTACCGCAATTTATTACAACCCCTCTCAGTCTAAATTTGAGGAAACTGAGGCTCAGAGAGATTGCCTGCCCAAGGTCACACATGTAAGTGGCAGATTTGGAATCTGAACTTGAGCCATGCAATTCTCTTTTCACTCATTAGACCACATGACCACGTTCTTTTCGAATCTGGGATTCCATGATTCTACGAATCAAAGAACTAAAGATCGCAAGTTCTAAGATTCAAGATTCTATGAATCCAAGATTCTAAGATCATTTGACAATAGATTTAGGAGGAAAAGGATTTTGGAGATCACCAGCCCAACTTTTTAATTTTACAGATGAGGAATTGAGGCCACTGTGAGTTAAGTGACAAGGTCAAACAGGTGGAAATAGTAGACAAAGAATTTGGATCCAAGTCCTCTGACTCAAAATCTGCTACTCTTTCTATCAAGCCATAGATTTGTATCGCAGATTTAAAAAAACAATCCTTCCCTTTCTGTGTTCTCTAGGAACAGCTTCACCAATGATGACCCGGGAGGGGATGGTGTCTTAAGGGTCTACCTACTGTAACGAAGCTCTCCGTTGTTTATTTTGAAGGCAAAGGCCAGGGGAAAGAGTGGAGGACACAATAGGGAAGCACGACCAGGGAGGGGCTGAGGGGCGAGCACAGTGGCAGAGCTGAGCCCAGCAAGAACGCCGCTGAGAAGAGCCCCCATTCCTGGCCCTGATTATGCAGTTAACTGCATTTCTAAGCACATCTATTTTTTCACCAGTGCTCGGAAGTGCAATTTTGCTGCTATTCAGATACAATGTGGCTTCTCTCCATGCTCGCTCTCTCTGGGTTTTAATTACGAGCGGCTGGCTCAGGCTTCTCCAAGCTGGCCGTCTCAGAGATTCATAATTTCAGCCTGACACCATAGTAACCACTTAGTTTGATTCAGGACTCTGGTGTCATCACTGGCTGAGCTTGAATAGAATGGAGGGGACCAAGGGTGGGGGGAGATAGAGGAGGGGATAGAACTTTGTATTTGAAGACAGTAGCTCATAGAAATAGCAATTATTTCTCTGTTTCATAGGGAAATGTAAACAAAAGGTCAGCTTTGGCCAGGGCTCTTAATTTTCATTCTTTCATGTCAACTGGACTGCTATGGAAAAAATTAGACTTCGTGGTTATTTTGTTTTATAGCACCCCCTTCCCTACCTTCCCTTCCCCATCTCTCTCGCCACCCCCACCTAGTGACAATGGCAGGCACCAGAAAAGAAAGGGAAGAACATTAGCCTTCCATTCATGGATTGTTACATGGTTTTTCTAAAGCCCGCAGCAGCATTGCTGGTATCTTTTCACTTCCCTCCACTTCCAAGACCACTGACCTAGTTCTAGCCTTGTACACCTGGATTATTTCACCAGCCTTCCATTTGGACTCCTTGTTCCTTCACTTTGCAATCCACCTTTCACATAGGCGCCAGAATAGTCTTCCTAAATCTCCACTTTGACCATGTCATTCCCCTACTCAAAAGCCTTTACTGGCTCTGTATCTCCTCTGGGATAAAATACAAAACCTTCAGCTTGGCTTTTAAAGCTCACTATAGTTTGTGCCTAATCTACCTTTCCAGCTTTATTTCATATCACTCTGCTTCATGTATGTTATACTGGAGCCAAATGATACTATTTGCTATTCTCCAAACTCAACATTCCCTCTCTTTCCCCCATATATTTCCACTCCTCCTCACCTCTGCCTCTTAGAATTCTTGTCTTCCTTCAAGGCTCAGCTGCTGCTCCTCTGGGATGTCTCCTGATTCCTCCCAAAGTACTCCCCCCCCTCAATTGTTACTGCTCCCTTTCTCCACAGACAACCTCTTATTTATGCATCTGTGCATTCTTCCAGTAGAATTTCAAATCCTTGAAGACAGAGCTTTTTTCACTTTTGAACCTTTATCTTCAGTGCCTCGTATATAGGGAAATAGGGATAGGAACTAGACATGTGGTTTCATTACTAGAGAGAAGGTAAGGAAACACCCTCCACTACTGCAGACTGGCCCTTTTCCTGCAACTTCTAGTCTTAAAGAGTTGCCTAGAGCCCTGAGAAGTTAAGTGACTTGTCCAAGGTCACATAGCCAGTATGTGTCAGAGACAGGTTTTGAACCTAAATCATCTTGGCTTTGATACCTACTCTGTCTCTACTGACCCTGTCGCACTGCCTCATTCTTTGAATGTAGGACATGGTAAGTAAACGCTGAATTGATTTGAATCTGGGTTCAACCTTTTTTTTTTTTTGTACAGAGAAGCCAATTGAGGCCCAGAAAAGGGAAGTGACATGCTCAAAGTCACACAGTGAGCTCATGGGAAATCCAGGACTCAGACCTACAATTCCTGATTCCCAGCTGGGAACCTTTGTGGAGTACATCAAGCAAAAAGTAGAATGTGAGTTTACCGGTCTTTTCAAATGCTGGAATGTAGAATAGATGCAGAAACATTCTCCAGGAGAGATAGTGTGCTATGGTGAAAGAGATCCTGGATCACTATTTGGAAGAGTTTGATTCCCAACCATGCAGCCATCATTGTGGGCTTGGACAGCTCCTCTCTCATTCATTGATAAAATGAAAGCATGTACAAGATGATCTCAAAGGTTCCTTCAAAACCCCAATTCTTATGATCTAGGGCAAATTAGTCCCTTAACCTTTACAAGTCTGTTTTCTCACCTGTAAAATGTTGGTGATAATGCCTACATTACCAATTTCACAGGGTTATTGTGAGAAAAGTGCTTTGTGAATTGCAAAGTGCTTTAAAATGTGACCCATTAATACTAGCTCTCTTTTGCTTCCTTTGCTTTTCCTAAGCAGCCCAGAAATTGGGCATCCCCAAAAATGTGATGACCCCTTCAACTTGCCTGAATTGTAAAGTGCTTCATAATGTGATCTATTAGTATTAGCTCTCTCTTGCTGCCCTCACTTTTTCCTAGATGGCCCAGAACTTCGGCATCCCCAAAATGCTAAAATGTGGTGCTCCCTTCAATTTGTCTGACTGTGCACCTGAGATAATTTTGCCTCTAGCTTCCTCTGGGGCAAGAATGACTTTGATGTTCCAGCCTTCCAGTCAATCAGCAAACATTTCTTAGATACCTGATACGTGCCAAGCATCGTGCTTCGCATTCCCAGTAGCCCATACAATGCCGAAGTTAAACTGGACAGGGGGGTCTCTGCTGATCTCTCATGAGCCAGTTTATTGTGGATCCATTTAAGAGGGATTACCTGACCATCCAGTGAGTAGATGACTCCCTGCCAGGCTTTGATTAGTTATGTACACAAAGCTCAGATCCATTCCAACACAGCTCAGGGTGTTTTCCCTGTCCGTTATCCACCCCCCTTCCCCCACCTTGTCTCTCTGCCTGGAGTAGAAGACATGGTATTCACAGCAGGTTGAGAGGGGTTGGGTGACATGAGGCGGATGGTCGGTTTCCTAGGAAACTCAGACTCTGGACAGGGAAAGAGATGAATCAGTCCACCTGCTTTTCCCTTCAACTCTCAAGCCCATGAGCATCTGCATTCTCCCTAAGAATTGGCTGCATACTGAGGCCCTAAGGTGTTCTTAGCAATGCAATAAAATCCCATTATAACAAAACTCCACAGGAAGTAGTATGATGGGGGGAGAGGAACTCAGGACTGGTCAGGAGTTAGGCTACCAGGGTTCTGGTCCTGACTTTGCCACTAACTCACCATGTGACCTTGGGCAAGCCACTTTACTATTTAAGGCCTCAGTTTCTACATCTATAAAAATGGTGGAAATGGTATCTATCTACCTACTTGATACTTTCACTAAAGTCTTTCTTCAGTAATTTTTTAGTGGCATAGAGGTGGCCCTGGGCTTTCTAAGGCTGTACCAGTAGGACATAGATTCTGGCAGATCCTACTGTGCTGGAGAAACTCTGGACATAGGCCAGTTAATGGACTCTGTATCTATTGTTTAGGCATGAGCATTCCTTTGGAGAGATTTGTCACTAGGAGATTTACCCCCAAGTGATGAATTTCTTTTAGTCGTAGTGCTCAGCACAATAACTGCCCTTTCCTTCCTTCGTTCCTTCCTTCCTTCGTTCCTTCCTTCCTTCCTTCCTTCCTTCCTTCCTTCCTTCCTTCCTTCCTTCGTTCCTTCCTTCCTTCGTTCTTTCGTTCCTTCCTTCCTTCCTTCCTTCCTTCCTTCCTTCCTTCCTTCCTTCCTTCCTTCCTTCCTTTCTTTTCTCCCTTCCCCTTCCTCCATCCCATCTCCCACCCTAACCATTGTTGGTGGAGCTGTAAATTAGTGCAAACATTATGGAAACCAATTTATAACTAATGCAAAAAAAAAAGTGGCTGAAATGGCCATGCCCTTTGACCCAGAGATTTCACTCCTAGGCATATATTTCAAGGAGATAATCAATAAGGAGAGGGACTCTATGTATGCCAAAATATTTATAGAAGTTCTTTTTGTGGTAGCAAAGAACTGGAAATAAAGTAAAATCAACCCAATATCTAACAAATATTTATTAAGTGGCTACTGTATGCCAGGCACCATACTAAGTGATGGGGATACAAATAATAAAAAGAAAAACAGCTCTTGCCCTCAAAGAGGTTATAATCAAAAAAGGGAGACAACATATAAAAGGAGGTAGGAAAGTAGGGGGCAGGATGCTAGGGCATACCCCACAAAAAGGCATCTTGTTCTGTGGGGTTGAAACCAGGGGGAAGCAGCAGATGCAGAGAGAGTGGAGTGAGCTGAGTCCAGTTTCTGCCCTTTATTTAGGAAGGCATTACTAGGAGTTTGATGATCCACTCTCCAGCCCTTCAATCAGAGGACAGAGAAGCCTGAAGGAGGTGGTGTCAGTCACGGCTTGACTTGACAGCTTGGTGGTGAGGTTATAAGAGATGAATTCATCCTGGGAGGGACATCTTACTTGCTGGAGGTGAAACTAGGTAGGGCAGCAGAAGCAAAGTAGAGAGAGATGTCCATTGTTTAGAGAAATGGCTACTTGAGGTATATAAATGTATTTTTTGTGTTGTACTAAACAATAAAGATGATGAATACAGAGAAGCTTGGAAAAACTTCTATGAACTGATGCAAAGTGAAGTAGATGGATTGGTTATCATTGGTAGCCATTGCTATATACTCCCTTCCCAGGCTGAAGGATTGGAAAGAGAAACAGACTCTGTTGTGAATTAGCCAATGAAAGCAACTGCTCTGAACACAGCAAGAGAAAAAGAAAGATGATCCCACAATCAATCTAGATCTTCTTTTTGGTTATCATTCCTAGTATCTTTTTACATGTGTTATATTGGTTTGTCCAGTGGGTACATTCATAGGTGGAGTGCATTTTCCTGGGAGGTTTGTTACTAAAACATTGGAGACAGGGGGGATGTTGAAAGTCAATTAACAGTTGATGGCAGAAGAAGAGAGATAGGAATAGCAGGCTTCATTTCAATTCTCCTCTCTTCTTCTCTGTCTCCTACCTCTCCTCCATATCTATCTGTCTCATTCTCTCTTCTCTCTGTCTCTTTCCTCTCTTCTCTTCTGCTCTCCTCTCCTTGTCTCTCTTCTGCTCTCTGCTCGAATCATAAAATCTCAGTGCTAAGAGAGACTTGTCAGTGTTGGAAAAGACTCTAGAACATAGAGTGCTAGAATTGAGAGGCACCTTAGAATGTGCTGGCTCTCTATTCCCAGTAACTAGCATAGTGACTTGTGCATAGAAGGCAATTAGTAAAAATTTGTTGGATTGGATTATACATAGAAAGTAGAATGTCATATCTGGAAAACACTCTTACAATAGAATGTTGGAACTGCAAGGGACCTTAGGACATAGAGGTATCAGAACTGGGAGGTACCTCAGAACAGAATGACCATTTTGGAAGAGGCCTTAAAACAGAACATGAGAGCTGGAAGAGGCCTTAGGATGCCATAATAATATATGATAGAATATAATAGTCTGTAAAGTAATAATAGCTAACATTTCTATAGTACCTACTATGTGCTAAGCATTTTACAAATGTCTCATTTGATGCTCATAACAACTCTGGGAGGTAGGTGCTATTATTATCCCCATTTTACAGATAAGGAAATTGAGGAAAACAGAGGTGAATGACTTGCTCAGACACACCTAATAAGTGTCTGAGGGAGGATTTAAATTCAGGTCTTCCTAACTCTATCCACTAGTACTCTATCCACTGCACCACCTAGCTGTACCGTTATAAAGATTAATCAGAGTTGTGAATAATCTTAGAACATAGGATATGAGAGCTGGGAGGGGCATTCAAGCATAGAATGTCAGAGCAGGGAGAGGTGTTAGAACACAGAATGTCAGCACTGGGTTGGGACCCTGGAACTTAGAATAACTGTGCTGTGAAGAGCCCAAGAACCCAAAATGTGAGAACTGGAAGAGGTTTGCATGTAGAACTAGGAGGAACCTTTGAGCATATTATCGTTGTAGTCCTAATACCTGGTATAGTGCCATGCACAGAGAAGATAGTGAAAATGCTTGTTGGATTGAATTTAAAAATGGAATAGAGCAGAACTTAAAAAGTGCTTAGAGATCATCCAGACCCTTTCTTTCTTTCTTTCTTTCTTTCTTTCTTTCTTTCTTTCTTTCTTTCTTTCTTTCTTTCTTTCTTTCTTTCTTTCTTTCTTTCTTTCTTTCTTTCTTTCTTTCTTATTTCATTTTCCCCAGTTGCATATAAAAACGATTTTTAACATTTGTTTTTAAAGCTTTGAGTTCCAAATTCTCTCCCTTACTCCCTCCCCAACAGCTCCCTCATTTTGTAGAGGGAGAAACTGAGGGTCTAGGCAAGTGGCTTGCCCAGTGGCCTCCTGAGAGTCAATTGATCAAGCTGAAGTTGGAACTCCTCGCTCTTGCTGCAGAACACCGGCACATTAGTACTATTGTCCTAGAGAGTGACTGCTACATGCACGGTGACCCGAGAAAGCATTTGTAGCACAGGGCTAGGCATTGTCAAGAATCTGTTGTCACCAGATCAACCCAGCAGCATTCCTGTGGGCCATCTGTCAGGACGGGGAAACAGCTTCATTGTGCAGGAGTCTGCTCTGTAACGGTATTGGTATCAGCTTTTATCAAGCCAAGAGCTTCCCAGGGACAGAGGACAGGATAGGGGGTGCTGGTTTTTTAAACACCAGCTGAACTGGGAGGGAAGAAGCAAACATCCCAGTCATAGGCAGGGTGCTTTCCCCGGTTCATCGTCCCACTGGCAGTTTGGGGCCAGCTCCGGCCCCCAGGAGATCACATTTAAATGCTTTGGTCAGCTAAGAGAAGAAACAAACCCCGCTTGTCCCCAGCAATTATGGGGAGAAACTGCCCTGTGCCAGCAATTATTTCTGTTGAGTCCTACTCCAAAGGAAGGAAAGGGACCTTGGGTTGGCTTCTGTGGTTCAATCATACTTAATCT